TAGTGGTGTGCGATACGGCGGTGGGTGCAGTTTTTTCGGCGGCGAGGCGGGTAGGCGCGGAAACTTTCGCGGCCTGTGCGAAGCTCACCGGCGGTGTCGGTAAAGCAGTCATTACTCGCCTTGGGGGGTAGTCGCGCTGCGCTGCTGGTGTTTGCTGCTGCATGGGTGACGGCGGTGTCAGTTTGGGCAGGTTGCCGCTGCTCAGCGACCGGTTTAGGCGCGGGTCGCGCGGGTGTCCGGTGCAAGGGCGCTTGTCTTCAGTTCTCGGCGAGGAAGTGGCGAGGCGGCGCTTTCGGGGGAGTGGCGTTGATGGAGGCGGAAGCATGAGCGGCGAGTCGCTGAGCGCCTGCAACGCCTCCAGGGCCATCTCGTCTGCGGGGCAGAGGGCAGGTGTTTCGCCCGCCTCGAACTCCAACAGTCGAACGTAGGAGCTCAGCCAACGGTTCAGCCTGTCCGACAGCATGCCGGACTCGACGAGTCGAGCTACCATCGTGGCGTCAAATGCATATTTGACGCCGGGCATTGCTATCTCTATCGACTTGGCTAAGACGCTGGCGAGCTCCTCGTCCGAGATCGGAGTGAGGCCTTGCTGCGAGGTTGACGGCGTCGGGGTTGGCTGGCTAGCCATGCTGCGTACCGGGGGCTACGCCTACGCAATCCTGGCCGAGCGGCGCCCGAAGGCGCGCTCAGGCCTGCGGCTGGGTGCGCGGCAGTCTCCGCTGGCACGGGATGGCGCCAGGCAGTCTCTCGAAGAGAAAAACTTACAACGTTTTTTTTCGGAGAACTTGGAGGGTAGATTAGGATTCGTGCGGAATGGCGTAGTACGGTCCACGTAGACCAAGGAGTTTATAAACTCCTTGATGTTTAGACGCAATCTTATTAATCTGTGCTCATTGACACGGACCTGGAGAACGGGGGTGAGTGACGGAAAGAGATGAAGAGGGTAAAGGAAATGTCAGATTCTAAAGTACCGTTCTTTGTCTATGGTCACATAATTGTTCTAATTTTTACTATGAAGATCCCATGCCGTGATTGTAGCGGTCAAGCGTGAACTAGTTTTATATAACGCACATGGTAAGAATGGCCACGTACTTTGGCGAAAGGGATTCACCCGCCTATGCCATCTCCATTGGTATATGCTCTAAGATCCGAAGATGGTATCTGCGGATGGATGCATCTGCAGGCCAATTATACTCGCTAATTGTGATATTGTTTTGATGTCAATTTCACATTACGTATTATGATCTCCGAAAATTGCGATGTCAAAATGACATCAACTTATGCGTATTATGATCAACTCTTTAAAATTATATCAACTTAAATGCGTATTACGTTCAACTTTTTGACTTAAAACAGTATCGCATAAACGTCAAAAATGTGATACAGGATATGATGATCTTGATGTGACATAGGAATGTCTCATATTACCATTTAAAAACAATGTCAACTTGGCATCAACATCTTATTGACATCGCAATAGGATTATATCACTAAAGCATAATTGACCGCAGTGGGTCAATTATGCTTCAGTAATAAAATTCTAATGTGATGTCAATATGATGTTGATGCCAAGTTGACATTGTTTTTATATGGTATTATGAAACATTTCTATGTCACATCAAGATCATATCAATATCATATCCTGTATCACATTTTTGACGTTTATGCGATACTATTTTAAGTCAAAAAGTTGAACGTAATACGCATTTAAGTTGATATCATTTTATAGAGTTGATCATCATCATAGCATAAGTTGATGTCATTTTGATATCGCATTTTTCGGAGAGCATAATACGTAATGTGAAATAGACATCAAAACAATGATGTCGATTCTGGCATGATTCTCTAAAGCTAAACTTAAATTTGACAACAGTGCATCTCTGTCATTCTCTATCAAAATGAAAAGGAGAGACTGATGTTAAATTTAGTTTTAAGTTTAGAGAATAACGCCAGAATCGATACCAGTATCACAATTAGCGAGCATAATTGGCCTGCTGTGGACGTGTAGTGGGGGCATTTAACTCGTAGTAGTAATTTTTGTTAGGCAGTTGGCAGTCTGTGGTTGCTTTCCAATTACAGAGCATAATGCGACTCAGTGCCGCACAATGCCGAATTATGCTGATGCTTAATTGGAACGTGAATTAGTTTTCAAATGCACCAGCAGAGTGCGCTAAGTTCAGTGTTGAAAAAAAAAGTCAATGTTTGTACCTTCATCCATACTTATATTTATTTTTTAACAGTTTGAATGAACTTTGATTATTTAAAAAAATCTATTTAATGAAACGAAAGCTTTAATAATTTTTCAACAATAAATAATATTACTAACGATAACATATAAATAAAACATTTCGATCAATGCCAACTTAAAGAAAAAACACTTGTTAATTTTCTGTCTCTAAGTTGAGAGTGCTCAATTGTGCGAAGCGTTGCTGTAGTTGGAACACTCAACGTTAAGCATTATTCCGCATAATGCACTATAATGCTGTAATTGGAAAGCAACCTGTACGTAGTATCTAAAGGCAGAAACATATTTACGTGTCGTGGCATGTCGTGACGCGTAAGAAGCACATCGGTTTCATACATTTATCATGGTTAGGTTAGGTTAGAAATTTGTAGGACGCGTCGTGTCATGGTATAAAAATAAGTAAAGTAAATCGGAGTGGCACGCGGGAAGTGATTTTTAAAGTTATCCAGCGATGTTTCGAAGACTACCAAGCTGGACGAATTTTGTGGGATTTGGACGATGTTTATGGGCGAACAGCATCTATCATGTAATCGTGGTGTAACTATTTGTTTGTAATCTGTCTGAAGTTACAAATTTACTCAATTTACGATTTTGAGACCAAAAAGGCATTGTTTACGTTGCACATTTTTAGGTTAGATTGACAATGGTGGTGATTCTGGCACGATTCTCTAAATCTAAACTTAAATTTGACAACAGTGCATCCTTGCCATTCTCTATACAGAATGAAAAGGAGAGACTGATGTTAAATTTAGTTTTAAGTTTAGAGAATCACTCTAGAATCGACACCATTGTAAATAGGTAATATTGTAGTACGACCATTTCTTTTGATACGTTATTATGGTTCAAGTCGGTCAGGTTTTCTACCAATTTTGAATTAATTGCTTCATGTCAATAAGTTATTATTTCTATTCCGTTACATATTTTTTTACTTTTTTCAGGAAAATCAGAGAGTCGGATAGTCAACGAAGGTTTTAAGAATGATGGAAAGTTTAAAACTCCTGGGAAAACAGGCAAGGCCGACCAAAGAAAGAAATGGTCACATAAAGAACCATGGCCAGATGCTTTTAGCGAAGATACCTATCACTAATTTTACTAACTGCACATTTACAAATTGTTTCGCTAAATAAACTTTTTATATACTATAAAATGATTTTTAGTATTATTTTCTTGTGTTAAAAAACGTCGTATGATGATACTTGTGTGTACGGATGGTTACCTAACGGCTCTGATCTCAATGGCACCTCAGCGGCGCGGTAATCACCAACATTACACACTTTTACACTATAAAGTACTATTTTATCTATAATAATTTTATTCTGATTCAATTAAATATGCTTGGCTAACCTTTTTATAAGCATAGGTAGCTGTTGTTTCTATTTTATATATAGTAAGCTAGCAAGCTGCTATATATAAAACAGAAACAAAATACGACTGTATAGTGTGTCTTATTAATTACCTATTTTACTTGAATGAACTGCTAGTACCAAAATCATTTTGGTCCGACTGTATAGGGTTGCTACATGCATACTAGTGGCGCCATCATTTAATGTCACGACTTTATAGACAAACTGTATGGTGGGAGTACTTTTCTAGGTGCAAGGTTACTCCCCATATGTTATTCGGCCATGCTCGAGTTAATCCAAAAATCTACCATTATAATTCAGCATGAGTTAAATTCTAATTGCAGCATTTCTCATGGCTTTAATGACGAATAGTATGCGAATAGGCATGTGAAGTGCCGGCATGACGTTTATTATGAGAAAATATCAGAGTGCTAGTACAGAATGCGACCCTGGCCACATGGGTTGGTTGGCAGCACTGACATAAAAAAAGTGATTTGAAAACTTGTTAGAGATGGTCGTTTTTAGATATTTGTGAAATCGATGCACATCGGTATCAGATATATCGCATCGGATGCGCGCATCGATACCGGCATCGCATCGATGCGAAGTGAATGTCAGTATCGTAGTATCACAGGACGTATCCTGTCCGCATCGTAATGCGATAGGGTGCGGCCAGAGTGCACTCAGATTCAGACTCAGATTCAGATTTCGAAAACAAGCGCGAGAAATAAACAGTGTAGTCTAAGCAGGTTGCTTGCTTTTTCTCGCGCTTTGTTTTCTGAGTCTGAATCTGAATCTGAATCAGGAGTGCAATCTGGCCGTACCCTTCGACTACACTGTTTATTTCTCGCGCTTGTTTTCAGAATCTGAATCTGACTCTGAATCTGAGTGCACTCTGGCCGCACCCATATGAATTACGACAGATGCGTGTTTTGTGTGGTTGTGTCTCTTCAATTCTAATAATCATGACATGTAAACCATTTATTTACTTTTCGGTATGGTAACTGAAAATATTGAATACTGGCAAAAACATTACAAAAAAGAATCGCACTCAGAGCGTAGGTTTTCAACGCAGTCCAGTGCCACAAAATTTTCTGTGCCGGTTCCAAAAATTTGAACTACAATTTATCCGTAGCATTTTGACATTTTTATGACATATTTGTTCACCATTAGCGACATCTCCACCGGCACTGATAAGTTTGTGGCACTGATGCTATAGTAACATTGACAAAAACTAGATGGCATCGGCATCCAATAACGGCATCCAGTCGTATCGGATGCGCGCATCCAAACCTGGCATCGTTATCGCGCATCGTTATTCTAACAACGCCCACCTCTAAAACTTGTTCTCATATTAGTCTATGGATTTGAAATGCCAATGCCAGTAAAAAAATTGTCAGTCTGTCAGTCAGACGGTCAATGTGAAATTTGCCGAGAGTAATTGAGTGAGCGTGTTCAGCCAGTTGGTTTTTAAATAAAATCCAGTTGGAGTCGCAGTAGACACATATTTGCGTTCTGTGAAGTGAACGTCTGCTATAAGAAATTAAAGTGAATTTATGTTCTCCGGTACCTAGACAATGTTTTGCAAGAATTGTTGTAAAATCCAAACCTACGTCGCGCAGCAGTGTCGTCAGTAAGTGTGTGTGTGTGTGTGCATTTGTGAATCGCCGGTTTCAGTCTCAGATTCAAACACTGATTATTATGGAATACTATGAACAAACATTGTGACCACCGAACATGCTCTGAACGTACTATCTTGTTTAAAGTAATACAAGTGATGGTTATGACTATTTCATCAAACTATTGACAGGGAGTAGAATAATTATCATGATTTTTATTGGGTGTTTGTAAAAAACATTGAATTCATAATGACATCATTGACTGGAGCCACTGTTAACACCATACACACTGGCTTGTCCAGTCATCTGGCAACAGGCAGTCAGTCATCAAGTTTCAGTATGGCTGTTGCGGTGCCACCAGCTCCACATAGCCATGGCTACAGTTTCCATGCAGGTAGCTGTAGTGATTCATCATCAGAAACTCATTCTCCTGAAATGCACACAGCCAAAGCTAGTGACCGTGAATCTCGGATCATTGCAGAAAAGCAAAGGAGAAGTCAATACAATGCTCACATTACACAATTGACTGCATTGCTGTCTGACATAGTGCACGCTCCCCGAAAAGTAGACAAGACAAGTGTCTTGAGACTTGCAGCAAATAAGTTGAGAGTTCACCACATCTTAGGTAAAACCATGTCCTGTTGTCATCTTGAAACCTGGTCTCCTTCGTTCATGAAGTACTTTGACCTGTTCGATTGTATCATGTTCTCAGTAACATGTAGGGGAAGAATATTCCTTTTATCACCTAATGTTCAAGAAAAGTTAGGTTATTGTCACATAGATTTGTTAGGACAAGATTTTTACAACTATGTTCACATTGATGATCAGGATATTTTGAGGCAACATATTTATCCACCTGAGTTAAGAAGTGGTTGTGACCAAACTCTTTTCAAACATCAACACAATTTTCGCATCCGTATTATGAGAGCAGGAGCAAAATCTGACCCACCACGGTATGAACATTGCAGAATAGATGGAGTTTTGAGACGCTCTGATCATGCAACTTCCAATGGAGTGCAAGATCAGCAGATTATAAGAAGACAGCGTGTCAGAAGGGTACGCACATTTTCGTCTAGTGGAAATGACTTTGTATTCATTGGTATGATAAGAGTTTTGTCAAATGAATTACCTGCACAGATATTACCACCTACTGCATATTCTGAATATTGGACAAGACATTTGGTGGATGGTCGAATTGTTCAATGTGATCAAAGCATTTCTTTGGCTTTAGGATATATGACAGAAGAAGTAACAGGAACTTCAGCATTTGTATTCATGCACAAAGATGATGTAAGGTGGGTGATCTGTGTACTTAGACAAATGTATGATCAAAGCAGAGAGTTTGGGGAATCATATTATAGACTAATGTCACGTTCAGGTAGCTTTATCTATATGAGAACTCGTGGCTTCCTCGAGATTGACAAAGATACAAAGAAGGTACAGAGTTTTGTATGTGTGAATAGTGTTGTTGGTGTAGATTATGGGCGACGCATGATGGATGAGATGAAGCGCAAATATTCAGTAATAGTAGATATGAATAAGCAGGATAATGATGATAATGACAAAGTTGATGAAACCCCAGTTGAGCATCCTAAAAGGCTGGAGCATATTGTAATGCATCTTGTGGAGCCATCTGGGGTAGCATCAGGAAATCCAGATGAATTACAGCTTGTTCCTCCATCAAGAGAAAATATAATTTCTGCAATCAAAAATAGCGAAAAAGTGGTGCAAGAAACTGGTGTCCGATTTGATTCATGTAAAAGGAAAAAATCTGATAGTGTTGAAGACGTTGAACACTTAAAAAGGCATAATGGATTACAGGATTTCAGTTTCTGATCTGTTTAAATGTAAGTTAAACTTTGTGTTCCTAAAATTAATCAATGAAATTAGTTTTATAATTACATAAAATAAGCCAGACAATGTTAGAATTAAATTATTTATAGCAGGCTGTTTGAATTAAGACTTTATTGTTTGATTTAGTTCATCTGCCTATGAAGTTTAGAAAATTTCATGCTAGGTATCAGTTATGGTGTTGGTTGCCAATATAATATTTGATAATAATCCATATAATTATCTTTAAGTGTAACTCCACACTAGCATATCATTTGCGAGACGCAAAGCACAATGCAAGCCGGCCAATGCTCGCGTCGTCGTCTTGCCAGCGTCTACGCAGCGTCGGCGTAAGCACGGGGTTCATCAGTCGGCCAGCGCTATCGTCGCGTCGCGTCATGACGACAACGCTGATAGATGCTAGTGTAGGGGTCTCATGGTAAAATTTGTTTTCCATGATTTGAATTTTACTTTTTTATTAGTAAGCCCAATGATAGTCATTATGAGAATATTTTGTTTTTTTTTTCTATCAATCAATTCAAACTGACACCAAAGACAAGTATTTGTATATTATTTGGTAAATTATGGCATTAGTTTCATTATTAGCAACATTATCATCATAATCTGTTGTCTTAGATAATGGAAGAATAAAATGACTGACTGCAAGTCTTTATAAATCCAAAATTTAAAATTAATCCCTATCATGTTCTTGTAAAAGATTAGTTTATATAATATGAAAAACCATTATGTTGTCAGAGGTTTTGTGAGGAAGCTGCTTTGCATTTAAATCTATTTACATTACAAAATGATGTAGCTACTTCTTAAAGACCTGGATTTTGTAAAATAGCTGAAAAAATTATGTTGCCTTAAAATTATGTCCCTACCAAAGAAAGGTCCATTGTTTGTTACACTTGCACTGCTAAATAACTGAATAGATTATGCTGAATTTTGGTACAGAGCTCGATGGAACCCTAGAGACGGCTTCTCGTCATGATTACCACCTTCATTGTGATAAAAAACTTACAAGGGGTGAAATGGGTGATGAAATTTTGTATGGTAAACCAATTTAACCACGCAGAGGAAGCCAAAGGCGCCCGCTAGTAGTAGAGAAATAAATCTTTGCATTTGAACTTTTCCTAATTCATTCAAAGTTCTGACAACTCAAGTAGGGGTTCTTTAAGAGCCAACATACATACTCAAATATCTGACCATACCTTTACACCCAAAATTGGTTAACTAATCATACTACTCTATTTAGCAAAGTCCTCCCTCGTGTCTGTATGTTCGCGATAATCTCATAAACTACCGAATGCATTATTATACAGTTTGCACGATTACTTACATAATTTTTTTCCACCAACGATACCGACAACAACGACGAACCAACAACGATATTAAATACCCTAGATACACAACGAGCGCTCAAAATGTGTCCCAATCAAGAAGTGTTTTAACTCCACTCAAGCAATTCTTGGTTCACAGTCACTCGCGGACCGTTACAAAGTCAAGACACGGTAATATTATATAGTCAAGATGCCACAGAGTTCCGCGAAAAAATGCGAAAATAATACTTAGCGTACGAAAAGTGTCGTTTTTTCGACAGGTATCTAGTCAATGTTTGTTAATTTAACGCATTTGAAGTAAATTTTAATCTAATACTTACTATAAACTGATTTAATATAAAATATTTGTGATATTCAAATGCATGGTCGGTTATACGTCGCAATATAGCCGTCTCTTTTCCTCGCGGTGCCTGCTATATTGCTAACAGCGCGTTCAGAATTGCGCGTAGAGTCAAAGAACTAAGGTCTAAATTCTTCCGCATATAGCAATAATCGTAAAATTTTACGAGCTTGCATTTCGAACTGTCAGAAGTCTTTGACGCATGCGTTTTATTTAAGACTTTATACAGTATGTATTAAAGGTTACTTTCAATATTTAAATAATGCCTTATATTGATTTTGACTGATTTTGACTACGCGATCATCTTACGGAGCTCCGTGGATCGTTCAATGTACCTTTTGGACAGGTTTCGGGCACGATTTTGTTCGTGTTGGTGTATCTAGGGTATATAATATCGTTTTGTACCAAGCCTAGAACAAAGACTGCATTGTAATTGGTAACGAAACTAGGGCGGGTCACCAATCGTGGATGAATTAAAATCGAACAGCTGAATTTTATCCTCTTTGAGAAAATAAGTTTATGAGCTAATAGTGAATTCAGCTTTAATTTAGGTAAATAGTTTAACATTCGTTTATTTCCTTTTCAGCTATCTTGTTATATTTTATCCTTGGGGGCCTTTAAGTATTACGTAAGCAGAAACCTGTTGTCAAGTAATCTAATTAGGCCATTCCTCTCTTCTTGGACGACAGCATTCTATGTTTCTACATTTTATAGTTTGAAGCAAGTATTGGCTTTCACGTACATAATATGCTGAATACCATTTTATATCTGGAAAATCAGAAAGATCTTGTTCTCCCTGCCCAATATATGTTGCAGTAACATGATAGCCATCAATTTCTATTTAATTCCACACCACAGCTAATACATTTCCTGCAATCTCGAAAATGGATCTTTCTAAATGATCATTAATCACGTTCATCCAAATGAGACCCTAAATGGTCATGAGGCAATATCAAACAAGACAGTTCCCGACTAAGAGGCGTTATTCTGCACTCTGCTCCACCAATGCTTCCAGCATTGGTAGCTAAAAACAATGCATCGAGATCATGTCGCTTAAAGAGTTGTATAGCAATGGTTATTGGATAAAGTATTTTAATATTTAGGAAGGCGGTTGTAATATCGACTTGGTCTAGACTTTGACTTTATCACAACACTTGACCTAACGTTGCTGTTATCTCGACAGTATGAAGGAACTGCCCAAGAGGTTAATGCATAGTTATTAATTTAACATCAACAAATTTAGTTTGTCCTTACCTCGTGGAAATGTGGTAATGTAAAAAACGAATGTAAAATTTGTGATATTGTATATATTTCAAATTAAAAATTATTCATTACAGACAAATAAATCGTCCATTAAATCGTTAGTAACAATATTTAACTTTAATCCTATGTTAGTATGGATTAACTTACATAAAAATATTTTTTCAGAGAAGTCGCTCAAAGAATGCGTGCAGCGACATTATTCAAATAAATTTCGGATAATTTTAAACCGAAGACAGACAGCAGAGTTATCTCCTTAAGATTCAGATGTGTGGAGAAGTGTTGTATCGATGTAAATTTGTAATTCTGCTAATGTCAATCAAGTAAAGCAAGCTTGAAAATATAGTGCTTCTTAGTTATAGTTACGTTGATTTTGCACCTTGGGTTCACCCTGAACTCAAGACAACTTTTTGATTTTTCCGTTTACCGACAACAATCGAAATATATCGTCAGGGTGATGTTATGTGATACATTCATAATTATGCGCATCGAGTTTAACAAACACCTGGGCTTTTAATACTAAAAAATAGGCTAAAAGCATAGTTTTTAAAGGGTAGTAGACTATAGTAGCCTTTTTTATGACTATAACTCCCAAATTATAATAAACAAAAAATAAGCTTGGAATAAATATCAGCAATAAAATATTTAAAATTTTCTTCAGATCTAATTTTTTATTTGGAAGGGCTCGTTTCGTGATCATTCAATGACAATCATTTATTCCAATTGATTGTAACTTATTAACTTTGAGTTAGCATACACATACAATTTTAACCTTTTGATTTGCAGTACCAATAAACTTTGTGCCTTCTGTCAATTGTGTAAGATGGCGGAATATCAAACCTAATTTATTTATTGATTTTTCTTATCTGCTTAACTATTTTTCCGTGATTTTTCTGATATTTTAATAGTTATTCTGCTAATCGGGGTGGAGACGAATCCAAAAAAATAGATCTCATAAAAATCGGTCCTGCCGTTCTTGAATTATAAGTGTTCTAAATAACACGACTTTGATATAATATATAGATATTGGTTATTTTCATTTAATTCCATTACAATTAGACTAACTTATCAAACACAATATTTTATCATATTGAGTATTGGGCAACTTCATTGATTTTCACAATAAATTGGTTGAATAGGGAAGATGCAATATTTTTATTTTCATTTTAAAGAATTTCATGTAGAATAAACCACAGATTTATTAAAAAATTAAAACATTGTGACTTATCGGAAAAAATGCGGTTTTAAATTGACAATTTAAATTTTCGCGCGAAAACTAACCGTTGGTTGCGATGACGTCACTCCTGTCTGTCACTGGTCGTACTTGTTCGTCGCTGGCTTTAAATTTTCATACTTTTGCATATTTTTTCGACTTTCGAAATATTTTTTTGAAAAATTTAAAATGGACTATCGATCAACATCATGTGATCATAACAATACCACTAATATTCCGAAAAAAGCCGTGTTGACTCATGTTTTGTGCCAATCTACTTCAACAAAGTTTCCAAATAAACTGTTTTTGACTGGAACTTCTGACCCAAAACTGAAAAAAAAGTGGTTTCAAGCTGCGAAGAGAAATGACAATTATTTTCCAAAGTCCATTATTCGATGCTGTGAAGATCACTTTGACGTAAGTCGGCGAATATATTTGTTATATGCTTAATTAATCTGCTTGTACGTAAAAACGCATTAGTAACCTACCTAATACTTACAAAACCTGTCTATAACATATTTTTAATTTTACATTTGGAGAATGACGTCCAAAATTAGATAAAGTTTAAAATGTGTGGCACAATTTTCACATTGGCAGGACTGAACCAAGCTTTGCGTTTCATTTAAAATAACTGTAACACGATAACCTTCTTTACGTACTTTATGCTCCGGAGAACTCGACCTTTTACTGTACATAATTCCCCATCTCTTTTAATTTGGACATAGCCGATTGCATTATCGCCGTAAGATTTGTAGAAGCCGCTGAATAAAATACGAAGTTTAACAACTACGATTTTTACATACCGTAGTAATTTAGTCCCTTTCAATTCTACACTTAAAAACTCTGCACTTTGGACAAAAA